TATGCCGAGCACTGACCACTCCTCTTCCTCTCTTGGCTGGTTCCTGACCCGGGATTTCAACTCTCACTTCTCACCTCGCACTTTCCTTCAGGTCTGCGGATTGGTGTTCAGTCATCGGGCCTGGAATACAGCCCTCTGCTCCATGAGGATTTGATCTGGACTGACGCCGTCGGCCTTCCAACTACAGACCAAATCAGGTCAACTCTCCCTTCTTGATTTTGGACATCTGGGGCTCTAATTTTGACTCTTGGAGGTTGGCTATCTCCCATCAGGGCAAGCTCTAGCCCCTCATGAGAGGACTTCACACCATGTTGGTGGCACATGGGGCCTCTGAATCTGAGGTTGGGCATCAAGATCAGCACCCAGGGCTTTTGGCTGGAATGTAAGATTTGCTTGGTAAATGTGTGCAGATACAGGAGCCAGGAGTTAGCTTCTCACTCAATCAGAATGCCTTGGTAAATAAGGCATCCCAGCCTCACGGCTTTCAGCAGCTTTGAATTAACTTTACTTTTCCGGTACTTCCCACTCGTTACTCAGGCTTGAGCTAGGCCAAACACGAATGTCACCACTTCTCATATGTTCACGGTGCCTCGTCTCTCCCTGAGCTTCCCACGTCCCTTTGTTCAAATCTGTCCTTTCTTATTCATCCATCCCTCCTCCATACTCCCAACAGAGCCCATATGTAATATTACATTGTTAATTAAGAGCTGCCAATTTCTCTCAAAGGGTTATGAACTTCTTGAAGACAGAGTCTTCCTTTTGTGTCCTTACAGCCCACCGGAAGGTCTAGGCATCAAGACATGTTATTTGAATTAGCCATTTGTTCATTCTTTCATTTACTCAAAAAAATATTGGGTCCTTTCTACAGAGCAGAGGCTGGGTAAATAACAAGAATTAAGACAGATACCACCTCTGCCCTTGTAGAGCTCCAAGTCTTGGGTGGGAATTACACTCAAAAAAATATTGGGTCCTTTCTACAGAGCAGAGGCTGGGTAAATAGCAAGAATTAAGACAGATACCACCTCTGCCCTTGTAGAGCTCCAAGTCTTGGGTGGGAATTACATTTTAAACAAATATTCATGGCAAAATTATTTAATCACAACAGTGATAAGTACTGTGAGGCCAAGGTGCCGGGGGCTTGATGGCTTGGCTTCCGGCCACACCTCCCACCACACACTCCTGTGCAGCTGTGCACCATCCAGCAGATCCTCCCGAGTCCACATGCACGTGCATCTCTGTGACGCATGCGTGTTCTTCTTCTGACCCTCCTCTCTGAGGACCCCCTCACACTGCTCAATAGCTGCAGGACTTTTCCTGCCTCCCTCCCAGAGGTGGGACCAATCACCCCACACTCTGAATGACCATGGACTTGACTTCTGATGAGAAACATCTCCTGTTGCTTGGCCATCATCTGTTTAGGTGTCTGCCCCCTGTGCCAGACCTGGAGCTTCCTGGCTGTGAGTGCTCGGTCCTGGGTGCCTCAGACACCCCACTGTCCAGTGCAGAAAATGTCCATCAGTGAGAATGCTGGTTGAGTGATGGGGTGGGTGAATGCACAAAAGGATGATTGTGAGGCCATACTGGGAGACACATTACATCCCTGGCAGAGGACTGGGGTCCGTGGCATGGAGGAAGAACAGTTTGTTATTGCTGAGGCCTGGCCCCTCCTCCAGCCAGGTCCTCTTTGCCTTCCGCCTGCCACTTCTTAATAGACATGTAACCTTAATCCTTGAGATTGCCTGGGATGGAGATTGTTTTCACTCAATGGCATGAACATAGAGATTTTATTCCTTTCTTAAATAAATCTCACTCCCCCAGGAAGTTTGAACAGGATATGGGCAATCGGATGAGAGCTTGAAACTGAGCATTTTCCAAAAGGCCCTTTTCAAAATTTGAAACCCCGTGGCCACTGGCCAGAGCCGAGTCTGGCTTGTGGGGGTCACTGGGGCCTCCACTCAAAGAAGGAAAGAGAAGATTGAAAACAAACCTTTGGCTGTCACAGAATAGGCTGATGGTTTGCAAGACAGAATTCCGCGGTTCGGTTTTGCTTCTCAGATGAAACTGGAGCGAGCCCGGTCACCCTTGTTAGCTCTTCCTTCAAGCTTTTGGCTGAAGTCTCGAATCCTCCTGAAGCCAGAAAGGAACTTGATTTGGTCCTGACATCAGTGGGACAAGTGTATGCATACAAGCACTGCATGGGACCTGAGCTATGACCCTGGCTAGGAGGACAGGGTGTCCAGTGGCCACCAGCCCAGCTCAGGGACTGGGTGGCTGGAGCTCACATCCTCTTGGGCAGCAGCATTGAGAACTAAGCCTGTGGGCCTGATGTCGAGGAGAGTAAGAAATGAGATGAGATCATAGAGTTCCCCCTCTCATCCGGGCAGTGTCCCTAGGCAGGTGACATCAGTTCCACATTGTGCAGACCAGGACACTGAAGCATCAGCAGGGCAATGCTATGCCCCAGGTCCCATCAGGGCCATGGTCCATCCCAGGCAGCTCTGACTCAATGTCCACTGCTATTTGTGGGCATCTCGTCTTCTCCTCATTGGGCACTTGCCACGCAGAGCAAGGACTGAGGGTCATAGACGTGGAGGGCAGGAGGGGTAGAAACATAGGGTTCACCCTTATGACTGGCTGTCCCACTGTCCTGCTGTCCTTAGGGAGTGGACACAGGCCCTGGACTGCCCCTTGGACAGGGGATTTGTGGTCTCTTGTTCTCCTTGACTTCTTTCTTCTTATCTCTGCCAGGAAAGATACCAGTGTATGTCCTTGGAGTACCCACCAGAACCCTCATCTGCAAAAGGGAAGTAAGTTTCTTTTTTTTTTTTCCTTTTTGTCTTTTTATACTGACTGGTAACGGGATCACAACCCTCGGTGTCACGCCTGCACCGGGGACCGGCAACGGGATCGCAACCCTCAGTGTTGCGCCCGTGCCACGCTCAGCCAGTGAGCGGGAACCGGTCACCACATGGGATCCGAACCCTCGGCGGGAGCACCGCCGCACTCCCAAGCGGTGCACTCTCCAGTGCGCCACCGGGCCGGCCCAAAGGGAAGTAAGTTTCATTCGTTGATTCTGTACTAATAGTGAGCACATGGCCTCTGCCCGCCATGGAGAGTGCACATGGTCCTGCGTGTGAGGAATCCCGGCCACGCTTGCCTGCTTATTCCCTCCTCTGCTGCCCAGGCTCAAACGGGACCTCAGTGTCCCCCCGTGACCTTCTCCTCCTTCCCTTCATCTGAGCCTTAGGCTGGAGCCAGTGATGGCCGAGGTCAGCCTCAGTTTCCCCATCTCTCAAATGGGAAAAGGGACGATGACACAAATCCCTGCCATCACCATGTTGGCCACTGGAGAGAGAAAAGATTTCTCTCCATTGGACTCTGATCCCAACTCTCCTTCACCCCATCCTTCCAGGCCCTTGGTCCTCACTCCTAATTTTGGGGCCAGCTGGTGATATATTATTTTCCCCCAGATCTGAGGCTTCTCCTACCAGTGCATGTTTTTTGAACATGATAAAATAAAAGACGGCCCTGCTCTTTTGGTGGAGTCAGACCCCATCCCTGACAGATGTTTCTGGTAGCAGCAGCTGGTGACCCCTGCCAGCACCCTACGCCCTGGGGCTGCTGGTGGCTGCCCAGAGGGGACAAAGTCAGGCCTAAACACATGTGTCCCTGCTGTAGCCTTCCTTTCCTCAGCTGCCCCCTCACCTCTGCTGCCCCCCAGGTGCCACTGGGCTCCTGGCCCTCCTGTGGGGTTTTCTGGGGAAACCCTGGCCAGAGCTCAGACTTCATGACGGGCTGCTGGCCCAACTCCCTCTGATCCCAGGGTCCCCTTGCTGCTTCCCTTCAACTCTAGGCCCCTACCCTCACCTATTCATGACCAGCCTTGCTATACATACCCTTTGCACTGTCCCCTCATCCCTCCCCCCCAAATCCCACTGCTTTGCAGGCCACATACCCAAATATTTACCACCCTGGAGAACTGTGGCCTCATATTCTTTGGCTCAGCTCTTTACTCAGCTGGTGGGTGCTCATCAGACTTGGAGAAGCCATATTTGAAGTGTGGGGGAGGTTCTGAAAGGCCAACAGCATTTGCTCTGAGGTCATAGAAGACGGGCGGGACCCTCCTTAAAGTGGATGCGGTCACTTTATGGGCCTCCCGGCTTCTCCTCCTGTAGCTCTTTCTCTCCCCTATTCTTTCTCAGGGACTATAGTTATGTGGCCTGCGTTTGGATTTGTATTCTGAGGAAGATTACGTGGGGTGGGGGATGTAACAAGGGCTGGGGACTGGGGGAAAACAAGGCCTCGCTAGATGGTAGCAACTCTCTGGGGTGCAACTGGGGCCGAAGGAACGGGCTGTTGTAAGCCAGAAATGAAGGCAGGAGATGCCCTTGCCCACCCTGCACAGCCCACCTGCTTCCTCACCACTGGCTGAGTCAGCACATGTGGCTACACTTGCCACTTCACTGAAGCCCTTGGTGTTGCGGGGCATGTCATCAGCCCCCCTTACAGAGAAGGAAACCAAAGCCCAGATGAGCATAGAAAGCCCGCTCGTGCTGGTTGCCTTGCCTGGGGCGCCCGGGGGCTCGAGAGTTTGCAGCAGTGGGGCATGCTGTATGCAGGGCCCGGGTGTCTCTTGTCCCCCACCTATGAGATTGGAGGCCAGGGCCTATTTCTTGTGAGAGGTTTCAGAACTGAGAGCACCGCGGCACACGTTTACAGTTTGCTCATCAGTACGAAAGAGCCTAACAAACTTTCCTGGCCAAGTTTACCAATTTGGTGACCTTTCATAAAGCCCTAAAGCGAAGCATCTGGAAAACTCCCTTCCTGCTCCTGACAGTTGTCCCAAATAGCATGTTTCAAAATCCCCAGAACATAAGGGCTGCAGAGCCTGGAGCTCCCTCCTGGTGTGGCCTGGTGCAATTCTCTCTCCTTCCTTGGGGGTGGCTGCAGGTGTCTCCCTCTGGCCACCCCAGAGCCTTGCCTTTGGCGTTCACCTGCTCCCAATTCCTGCTCCCTTGACCTCAGCAAGAGCCTCAGTTGGTGCCCATCTGTTGATACCAGCCCATTTCTTTTACAGCAGGGATGGCCTGGCTGAGGTCAACTGTCAGACCATGAATGGCGTAGCCTTAACGACACTGATCTGAGCAAGGCAGTGAGTACGCCTGAGCACAGCTCCTGGATCCGGGACTGGGGCAGATTCATTGGGCCTCCAGTGGAGGAGCCTGCAGGCAGCACCCTTTGCCCACCAGACTGCACAGAGCATTGATCCAGCCCAGGGAGCAGGCCCAGGTGGATGTAAGTTATGTTAGTGCTCTAGCTCAGGTTGGAGGGTGGGCTTGTGGATGGGCACTAAATCCTTAAAATGTTAAGTGAGAATAATAAAATGAAATACCCATTCATGCGGCAGGGTTGGCTGGCATTATAGACTGTAATCTGTCCAATTCTATGTTTATCTGAGCTTGAAGACAATAATAGTAATAATAGCAGTTAGTCGACTAGTGTAAACCTGAGTGCGTTGATCTACTTGACCAGACCTGTACACCCCGCTGTGTTCCTTTATCTCAAGAACGGCTCTGCTAGTCCTGAAGCCGAGGCCATCTACCTCCCTTCTCTCCTCCACCAGGTGCTGTTGCTGCTACATCAGGAACATCCTCCATCCCTCCTCCTCACTTCCTTCCCAGATGGACCTGCTGAGGTCAGGCTCATCTTCTCTCTCCAGCCTAATTGCATAGCCCTCTGCTTGCTTTCTCAGTCCCCTGCTTAAAACCTTCTGCAGGCTCCACAGTGTCCCAACTCATGGTGGACCAAGCCACACCCTATCCTACTGTTCCATGTCCTTTCCCCTTCCTCTCTTGCTCCAGTCTTACTGAATTTCTTGTAACTCCCCAATTCACACCTCCTATCACCTCTACCATTCTCTGAAGATCTCCCTGACATCCCAAGCCCCACTTCAGACTTGGTCAAGTACCCCACACATCACTCCCTGTTCCCTAATTCCATAGCCGTCCTTTTCACATTGAATTAGGAGCATCTGTCGATCGGGAGCTGGCTCCGATCCAACTGGCCATTTCCAAAGTACCCTCTTAATGAATGTTAGAAGCTCTCCTGTCCCCGTTGATCAGACAGATGCTTGAACATGTTGGGTTTTGTTTAGTGACTGGCCTCTCTTGTCCTGGAAGGTCCTTCTGCATGGAGCCCGTGGAGGTGTGGCTGCTTGAGTATCAGGCTTCTCAACTGGACAACTGTGATGGGCGCACCGTTCACTTGGCTGGGTGAGCTCTTTGTTTCTGGTTACATCTAAGACACCTGTGTAACTGCGACTAAGGGTCACACTTCATTTAAATGGTAGAAAGGATATAGATGATCAAAGATGAGCTTTTGACAGGGCAGGAGCACATGGGATGGCCTCATAGAGGGGCCAGAATGCATGAACTTCCCACTTGGAACATTAGCAAGCAGAGGCTGGGTCATTCCTGGCAGCTGCTTTTCTGGAGGGCAGGGCCGGCCAGAGAAGTTCCTCATCTCCTGTCCCACCCAAGTGTTGGGGGTCATGTTGACTTTGCAGCTGACCAGACCCCAAAGTCGTTTCTGGCAGCTTGATTTGGGGTTCACAGTTACCTGCCCAAAGTCCCTTTTAAAAATTATGCAGACGATTGCATTCTGTGAACTCACTGCTGCAATGGAGAATGCAATCAGCAGGAGCCATGTGGGTTTTTCCCATAAAAGGCCCTAAGCTAATAACTAAAATTCATCACACGTCTTAATTTTTTAAAAATTTTTTTTCTCTTTGAAAAAGAAATACATGTTTATTGTAAAAGCTTATAAATATTGAAAAGAGGAAATGGGAGAATAAGAATCTCCCCAGCGCTGCCAGTCAAAGATGACCACCGCCAACACTGTGGTGACCAGTCTCTGGTCTTTTGTTTTCCACCATAAACTGTGTGTGTGTCATTGTCATCTATTTTTTTTCACATAACTTTATATCCTGAACATTTTCTAATGCCATTAAGAAATTTTCTAGCTTGTGCTTTTTAATGGCAACATGGTATTCTAGCAAATGACTATATCGTGCTTTGTTTAATTGGTTTGCTTTTATTGGGTATTCAGATGCATTTAAACGCTGGACTGTGTAAGTAGGGTTGAGCATCTCTGTGCTTCTTCAGCTGTGTCTCTCATTTGTTTGCTGCTGTCCGTTCTAAAAGTGGTCGTGTCAAGGTGTGAGCATTTCATGGCTGTAAACTTTGTACCAACTTAACATTCTCAGAAATAGTTTGAAAAATGTCTGTTTCTCTGGGAATTATCAAGGTTTTTAACCTTTGGCAATTTGTCAAACACCCCATTTTATTCTTTTATTACCTGTGATAAAGAACATTTTCCCCTTATCTTTTTTGGTTATTTGTATCTGAATTGCCAGTTCTGGTTGTTTGCATTTTTCATTTTTCATTTAGTTTTTATTTTTGTCAAAGTCATGCATTTGCATCCTTTTAAGAGTCAAATAGTTCTTTAAGATTGTTGCAGAAACATTAGCCCTCCAGCCCTCCCAACTACGCTGATTTTCTGCTCAGCGGAAGCAACAGCTCTTAACTCCTGTAACTGATTCTCTTGACATTTACATCCGTATTTCTAAGCAACATTCTTATTTTTCTACTTTTTGATATTCTTTTTCTTTTTTTTTTTCAGCTTGGGCACTATCTTGACTTTTCAACTGTAGAAATGTAATTCTCTTTTCGTGGAAGCAACAGCTCTTAACTCCTTTAACTGATTCTCTTGACATTTACATCCGTATTTCTAAGCAACATCCTTATTTTTCTACTTTTTGATATTCTTTTTCTTTTTTTTTTTTTTCAGCTTGGGCACTATCTTGACTTTTCAACTGTAGAAATGTAATTCTCTTTTACATATACCCTTGGCTTTTGTGAGCCATCCTCTCAATATATTTATAGTTCTGGTTTAATCAATATTCAGAGTTTATTGTAAGAGTGTAAACTCTTTTGAAAGCTGAACAGTGTGGTCCTATGGTTATTTACCTCTCCTTCACAACTTTATTTTCCTCTGTAGGTTATCTTGTGTTTTCTTTATTTGTTTATTTTTTTTCTCTTTGGTTGGTTATTTTTTTTATGACCTTAGCTCACAATTATCCCAAGCTTCTCAATATATTCAAACACATTAGTTGTTTTTTTCTTTTTAAGTGTGTTCTGTCTTTTTGAGGAAACCTCTTCCTGAAGTCTTTGTGCCTGTTTCCTTATGGGTGGGTTGATCTTTAGGCTTCCTGCCACCATCCCTGCCTCATTTTCCTTCTGGGGATTCTCTCGATCCTCACTCTTTGGGTGGATTCCTTAATTTATAGATCACATATTATCCTGCTTTTGGGTTTACTCCTCTGTTTTGCTGGAGCATATCCTCTAGTAGTTTTAGGAGACAGGATTTACTGGAGGCATATTTTTGGAGACCTTTCACATGTGAACAGGAAAATGTCTAGTCCAAGCTGACATTGATAGTTTGGCTGGGTATAGAATTAATCATTTGAAAGCCTTTTTTTTTGGAGGGGGGCAGGGCTCAGATTTTGAAAGCATAAATTATTGTCTTCTAGCTTCTAGTAAGGAAAATGTCTAGTCCAAGCTGACATTGATAGTTTGGCTGGGTATAGAATTAATAATTTGAAAGCCTTCTTTTTGGAGGGGGGCAGGGCTCAGATTTTGAAAGCATAAATTATTGTCTTCTAGCTTCTAGTGCCACTGGTAAGAAGTCTTAAGCCTTTCTGATGAGAACATCCCTTGTAAATGATCTTTTTTTCTTCTTTTCTGGAACTTACACGATTTTTTCATTGTCCTGGTCCAGTGTTTTCAAATTGCATGGTTTTGTGTGTTGATTTAGATCTGTGTTCATCCATTTAATTAGAGCCTTTTGATCTGAAAACTGGTGCCCTTCAGTTCTAGAAATGTTTTTTGGACAAATCTGTTTTCTCTTTCTGGCACTTATATTGCTTGTATTTTGGACCTCTTTGACTGATTCTCTAATATTTTTAATATTTAATTTTAGACTTTTAATTTTTGACTCTTAATTTCTTTGTTCTCTTTCTAAGAGATTTCCTGATCTTTATCTTTTAACTTATCTTCAGTTCTACTTTCATATCTCTAATATTTAATTTTTAATTGTACTTTACATATTATTCAATAATATTTGTTTCATAAGTGAAATTGCTTCTTTTATATCACTGATAATATTAATGATAGGTTTTCTGAAATTTTCTTCTCCCTAGAGTCTCCAAGCTTTTCTTTTCTTTTTTCTTTCTTTCAGATGTGTACGTCTCTAACTTGCTCAACTCTCTGATGATGAGTGGAGATAGATATATAGATAACACACACACACATTAAGGAACTGTTTGGAAGCTCTCAACATGTGGTTAGGCCTTGTGAATGATGGGCTTTGTCGTAGAGTGAACTATCTGGTCTTTCCATTAGGGAATGTCTTTTCTTTCAGACTGTCCCCCCCCAAATTTTTTAGTTTCTGGCCTAGAGAGTATATGTCTGGCTGCTGGTGCTCAGGAAGGTTTGTGAAGGGACATTGGGGTCTCAACATCCACCTTGTGAGATTTTGCCTTCTTCTTCCTTTTGGTTTAGAATCCTTGCTCTCCAGTGCACCTGCTGCCTCTGCTCCAGAAACCTCTGCTTTGCCTTCTTCAAGTAATCTCTTTTCAGTTTTTTCTCAGGATTGGGGAGGGCTCTGCATAGTAGGTGAAGAATTTAGGACATACCTTCATGGACAGACTTTGAGTGAATTCATGTTGCTTAGGCCTCACTTTGCCTGCCACGTCCAGAGGTACCCAGTGCTGCAAATTTTTGACGTTTCTGTAGTCTCCATTGAATACACTGGGCTTTCTTTCACCTTTCCTCACTCCCAGTTCAGGATCCAGTTTTCCTGGGTCTGTATCAGCTACCACTCGTGTCTTGTCTTTGTCCCTTGTGTGCTTCTGCTTGAAATGAAACTTTCTTTGCTCTCACGTACCACAGTTTCAAGAGGGAGGGCAGGCAAACATCCACGTTCAGTTCAGCACATTGACCTGAAAAGTCCTTTATCCACTTCTCTATATTGGTGTGTTCATCTTCTGTTTTGTCTCGTGAGACTGTTTTAACAAAGACTGTAGCTCTTTTTCTATCATATGTTACCAATGGTTTTTCTCCCTGTTTTTCATTTGTCACTCCATTTCGTTCATGGAGCTTTGTATTTTTCATTTTAAAAATTATGTTCTAAACATCTATCACAAAGTTTTTCTTGTAGTTTCCTCATTTGCATTTTCCTTTTTGTTTCTGAAGGACTTTCCCAAACTGAACTCATATAGTCACTTTCATTTTTTTATAGTTCTTTCATGATTTCATCTTTTATATTTGAATCTTTAATCTATCAATTTAATTATTGTGAGAAATAAGTACTTGTCCCATTTTCACATTTATCACATGCTATATACTTTTATAGTTTTGGCTGTTATTCTGGCTTTCTATTATTCTCTTGGTTTGTCTATTTTTACACCAGTATTGCTTTGTTTAAATATATTGTATTGTTATAATGTGTTATTATTCAATAGCAATAGTCTTCCTTCATTCTTATTTTTTAGATTCTTATTTTTTAGCATTTTCTTGGTTAGTCTCATTTGTTTATTCTTTCAGATGCACTTCAGTGGTACTGTAAAGTTAAAAACACTCCTTGTGGATTTTCTGTGAAATTTTGTCAAATTGTAAATTAATTTGAAGATAATTGAAATTTTCCAATACTTAGGTTTTGCATGATATTTTGTATTAAGTTTATTTCAAGGAATTAAGTATTAGTTTCATTGTGAATTTGACCCATTTTCCTTATATTTTCTAACTGGTTATTACTGGTATATAGGGAAGTGTTTGTATATTCATTGTTATTGTTTGTCTCACTGAGGACTTATTTGTTCTGCAATGTTTTAGTTGAGTGCTTTGGAATTTTTAGGTAAAGTCATTTGTATCTATAAAATGCAAATTTTATCTCTTTTTCATATTTGTCTTGTCTATTTCTCTTTCTTGTCTTAAAGCATTGGCTAGATCTTCTAAGACATTAAAATTGTTGGTAATGAAAATCTTGTCTTGTTTCTAGTTCACTGTTAACTATGATTACAAATTAAGTTTTTAGTCTAGATGTTTTTTATAATGCTAATAAAGTATTTATTCCTAGTTCATATATGATTTTAAAATCAGGAATGGATTTAGAATTTTATGAGATGCTTTTTTGATATCTGTAGCGATGTTTG